TAAGGGGTGGCATATAAAGGCCGGCCGGGGAGGCAGCACATTTTCCTAGGTGCGAGGGATCTTCCCAAGGAAGAATTATTCTGCTGGTACAGCGCCTGAGCAAAGGGGAGATCCCGTTCCATTTGCGGCGTGAATAGAAATGGCGATTATTCCTTCGACTTCTTTCTTCAAGGAATCATCGTTGGCAACGGAACCGAACACTGCTAAAAGCAAGCCGATCGTATTTCAATCCCATGGGAATTAAGGGAGTAGTTGAATGTGTGAACCGCTTTCAGGCCTCAGTTTTATGGGACTCGAAATCGCTTCTTATAATTGCCACGAACACACGCATGCTCTAAATGAGCCACGGGGTAATGGGTCATCAAATGGAATGGGAGCATCTGCTTCCCATCTCTAGCATGAGAGCATTACGGAGCTGGGACCTTAATTTGCTCGGTTCTGTAGAATGATCGTTCCCGGCGAATGGGTTTTGGGCAATTCCGTTAGCTCTTTATTATGGTAACTGCTGTTCAACGCAGCAGTTCTCTCTGACGCCTGTCCCAAGGATGCTTTGCAGGCAAAAGCTTGACCCTGGCGGAATCCGAACTCGCAGCACGCTTTCCGGGCGAGTGCACTACCCGTTACGCCATCAGGGCGCTCTTACCCTCCTCCTCAACTTGAAGCTTTATGCCGCAGCCGCTTTTGTACATAACCCAGCATTCTTGTGATCAGATTCCGCTTCCGCTTACTACTGACGGAAACAGTCTCAGGTTACTGACGGAAACAGTTCAGGAGAATCGTGTTGCGGAGTCATAGCTTGGTGCGAGCGGCATTTTCTGGCTAGTTGACTCGACTTACTGGAACATTTTGCGTCAAACCTTTAAAGTTAGAAGACGAAACCCCGTAAATTGCTGTGAAGCTGTGATTTTACAGATTTCAATAGTCTAACCACTTTCTGCACAAACTGATTCACCCACTCGGGACTTTATTCCTCCTTGGCTTGAGAAAAATTCTCATCCACCAGGCTCCCGGTCGTTTCTTGCTTATTTTCAAAACTGCGCTTCACCCTTTGTCACTTGCCAGGCTGCTAATGGTACAGCTCGATGAATAAATAATGACAAATTTAGCGAGAACAGAACGGTAAGAGGGGTGTTCAATGTACTCTCGGTATAGGTATGAAGGAAAAGGCAGAAAATTCTGAATAAAATTTATTTTTCAATGTAGTCCCCCATAACCTCAATACACTTGTTTGCTCGGGAAACTAACTTTTCAATACCTCTAAAGAATATTTTTCCTTTTGTCCCCAAAATGTGCGTTAATTGCCGCCTTCAGCTCTTCATCGTTAGAAAACGCTTTTTACGAAGATTTTTAGGTTGGGGAACAAAAAGTAATCACCAATCATTTTTTCAATTTTCTTTTCGTTTTTCTCGGTTTTCTTTTCATTTTTCAAATTTTTTTTCATCAGTAATCATTTTCTCAACATTGTCGCATCAGTCATTCTGGTCTTCTTTCACCAAGGATAACTAGAATAGCATTGATGATAACTAAATGAAATTTTGTATTTATACCCTCAGGGAGTGTTGTTACCTATTGAAATATTCAAATTCCTTCGTCACTGCTAAATTACCCCGATAACCGAGACCACTTAGAATGACCCTCGTAAGTCATTCTTCTATCGCCAGCAATTTTGTGTCAAAAATCGATAATATGTAGTGTGAGGGGCGAGACTTTCCCTAAATGTTCGTTTCGGGATAGATCGAGGCTATCGTTATGTTCATGAATTAGTTTTTCAGGTGCTGTCCGCTCTTCAAGCGATCGATCCGTCATCTGATCTACTGCTACCCTTGCTTACCGTACTCTCTAATGCTACCGCATATCCAGCAAATCAGGTGAGCTTCTGCAATAAATCGCATTGACAAGATGGTTGTGATACGGAGTACTAAAATAATAGACCATAATAAACAAAAAAAAACAAA